GCCACTTTTGTAAGTAACACACACACTCACAGTTAGTAGAGAAGTAAATGCACATATTTCTTAATCACAGCCTGTAAATTAAGAAAGATGATGTTTGTATAAAATTAAGCTAAAATATCCCTGATACAGGTTACCTGTTATCTTTTGACATCATTGGGAGCCAGGGTCCGTGCAGAAGTGCTGGACCCATGCTATCAAGGTCACGCCATTACACATGCTTCAACAGTCGTGGGTTAGTCTCAATCAAGATGTTACAATCCATTTTAGAGCATCAAATACAAATTATTTATTTGACATGTACTTTTAGACTCTCTAGTTTGGTTCATGTCCCATCCACGATCATGGAGGAGGTGGAGTTTATGACAAACTGCAAGCCCAATGAACTGGTTTCATTGGGCTTGGTTGGGAGATCATATGGGTATTATGCGCAATGAAAACCAATAGTGCACTTATGTGTTATATGACCGAAGGGAGGGCATACAGTGAAAATAAAAGAGAGCTTCAAATTGAACTCTGGAGCACTCCACAAGTTATCGGTGCCAAAGATGATACACTGACACCTAGGATAGGGTACTGAAATATGTTGCCAGTCAGGCACCAGTTCTTACCCTGTGGTATCCGGCAGACCAGATCACGACATCGCAACTTTTTGGTGCCTGAGTTATGCACTGAAATAGTTCTCTGCTTACAGGTGTGGTGTCTGAAATGCCATGTATTGTGTTCTATTTCAAGGAAGCTGATCTCTGGGTCTGAGGCCCATAGGCCCTGAGAAAATCAGAGGAAGTTTACGTTGTCGGAGATAAACTGAATGTATACATTAGGGCATTAGAGTACGGCTCTAACTGTCACCCTAAAATTTGAGCTGGTGCCTTTCCCTTCCTGTTACCGGACAGGCTGGATGAAAGCCAGATGTGTTTTCTTAAGTTTCACGAAAACAACTCTCCTATATTAATGGGGAGTTAAAGCTGTTAGGGAGAAGAGATTCACATTGGCCCTGAATCTCTCTCCAGGCAGACTGCAGTGCTTGTATTGATGCTGAACTTTTTGTATTAAACCTTTATATACAATCAAGACAGTGTCATCGGAGATTCCTTCATCATCTTCACATCATCGTTACCCCAATATACAACACAGGCAACATAAAATCACCACACATGTCTAGTTAACATTACACTTAACTCTGGTGGCAACACACTTTTCATGGCTCCGGCAGCACATAAAATAAAATAAAAGAACTCATAGTGTGATGGCAACAGTCTCTTCATCTAGTGGACACTATGTCGACTGTTTTTCCAGCAGCACTCCACCCTTCTCCATTGTCTCATGGCTGCACAGTACATCTGATGAGTCACTACCAACATTCTAATAGTCAGTGGTCCACAACAAAAGTTTGACATGATCTCAGATGTCAACCTAATGACGCTTGAAATGTACTCTGTAGAGGCGGTATAAGTAAAAATGTTTAATTACGATCAGCCCAGTAAAGCACCATGACTGGTTGATCAATGTAAATGCAACTAAAATACTGGAGTATGATCGTGTAAATCACAAATCTTATCAAAGTGCTTTTCTGTTTTAATTTGTGAAAAACATTTCCTGCTGCAGCAGGGGAACGACACCAGCCCCAAGATGGTTTCACATCCTCGTTGCAGCGATGGGGAAAATACAGCTCAAGTTTGTGTGTCTTCTGGTTAATAAAGGGACAATATCCTCATACCAGTCAATGTTGTGATAAGAAATTGGCAAACCTCACTACGTGACCTGTTGGTTCAAATGCCAGGGAGGCGTGATGTTGTTTCCAACAGGAATTTGAAGTGTGTGTGTGTGTGTGTGTGTGTGTGTGTGTGTNTGTGTGTGTGTGAAGGAGGGAGAGAGAGGACGGGAGAATAAAGATGGTGCATGAGGTCACGTTAGTGATGTCGTATCACCAAATTCAATATGTTGGCTGAACTGCCTGATTTAATCAAAGGGAGGTCGAGAACAAAGGATGGTGTGACCTAACTCGTCACAGTTTGTGTCTGGCTGCTGTTGGGAGACTTCAGTGGCAATTTCATTTGCCACAGTCGCGCCATATGTGGGGCCCAACACAGCCAGAGAAATTGACCAGCAGACAGAGACAGCGCTGGTTCTAATGGCGGAGGAGTACATGGCCATGCACTTGTGGGGACTACTGCCATTCCAAAGGTAATCTACCAACATAGCCTACTTGAGTTTGCCACACCAAGGTTCATAATTTAGCTAGTTCCGTGGCAACAAATTGGCCTAGTTCTCAGCACAAAAAAGAATTTTTCCTTCATCATTGCTGACTGTTTTTACTGCACCTGGGTCCTGCAGGATTCTAACCACCAAAAGTCTATTCCTTCTGTTCATTATAAATCCAATTTATTCTGATCTACTAAACCCTAGATTTCCCAGTATTTGCCTGAGATATTGTGTTCACAAGACCAAATACATAAAAAGTCACAGTGACCTTTGACTTTAGGCCACTCAAATCCCAAGATATTTGTTTTCTTTTGTTTTTATTTAAATTTTTACATCTGTTACATATTAAAAACACCATCAACCACCCCTCACTCGCTTGCAGTGAATCCAACGGAGGATCTGCTGCTGTCTTCTAACAACCCCACACAAAACACTTTCACCAAACATTTAAAAGTCAAATAAACCCATCTCCAAAACCAAAAGCCCTTAATGTATACTAAAGAAAAAAAAAAAAGTTAGACCACGGTTATAGTGTCCAAAATTATCACGGCTATTATTATTATCACAATATTGTTCAAAAGTACTCATAAACAAATTGAAGTAGGTGATCGTGACAAATCAAGACTTATGTGATGGGATAGTTGAAATTCACTCATTATCTACCCACCACTATGCGGATGGAGGGGTGGGGGAACTGTTTTTAGTATGTCAAAACACTTTTGGAGTCTCAGGGGTAAACAGTGTTGCAGCTGAATCCCGCCTTTAAAGGACACCAATTTTTGTACTTGTACTACAGTTTTCTCTGGTTTTATTCTTCACAGTTATTGATGACCCTACCACTGGAGGAGTGAGAATCCGTTCTATGTGGTTACCATGCCTGGTCAAGGAAACGTGCGTGGACTTGATAAATGGTGCCATCTCTGAATCTGCAGAGGACGAATCAGAACTCAGTGTAACATCAGATATTTTTCATTGCTCTTCCATGAATCTTAACTGTTTACCCAACCCACGAAATAAGTAGAAAAAGGAATGAAGAGCGTGAGTCTGAAATTGGAAAAGAAAACAATAGATGGATCATTTATTTGTTTAATACATATTTATTTAATGCTAAACAACATTTGAATCCAAGCATGTAATGTTTTCTCATGGTGTCATATTTTTCAAATGAATGATGTAGTAACACATGTACAGTATATTTTCAGTCAACATAAATCCATCTATTACCTCACTTGACAGCTACTCGTTAATAATTTCATGCTAAAATCACAGAAGCAGTTTTCCCCACTTTCATCTTTCTCATATTTGAACAATATCAAAATGTTCACTGTAGTCATTTTTATTGTGTCTAATTCTTTAAAAGTACTGACACATACAGTACTGTATATTTGTAAACAACTACCTGATTGTTCCAATTATTCTTAAGTTTGTGTTGTTATATTTGAACATTTATTAAAGTCTTTCTGTTTCAAGAGCAGAGCAAGAAATAATAATTTATTTGGGATTAATTGGCTTAGTTGCTATTTGTCCATGGTTGAGTCCTATTCATGCGACATGTAATTCTAATTAAAGTTTGTCAAATGACCTTTACGTTGTTGTTGCCAAATTTGCGAACAATAGTCACATGTGTACTTATGGAGATGGTGTGTGTCCTATTTCACATTTATGTCACACCCTACAAATTCCACACATCCTGCTTTGAATCAAAGGACATACTAATTATAGCAATTACCAAAACATAAGAGATGTCTGCGTATTTTAATCTTCAAGCACGCAAGTAAGAAACACTGGAGCACAATAACTATATGCTCATTTGACTGGGTACACACACAGTAAAACACTCCCCATGACGTGTTGTGTTGTTTAAGGTGAGAAGCAGCAACTATAAGATTTGAATATAGAAGTTCAGATGCAAACTGTCTCCATGATTATTAATAAAATGCGTAATCATGAAATGTGCCACTCCTTAAGCAAACAAAATAACAGATGATTAATTGCACACGCCAAGCAATGAATGTTTACTGGTGAAGTGAAAGATGTTCCATGAGCAACTTAAGTGACGTGGTTGTATACTGTCTATAAAAAAATATGAATGAGATTGTGGAATTAATAAAAAAGCCTAAATTCTGAACTAGCCTAAACTCATTGTAAAGTGCAAAAATGCAGTAATGGCTGTTATCCTTGATTCACCCTCTCGCATGGTGACTTTGAGTTTCGAGCAAACCTTTAAAGAATGAACCAAGGCAACTCAGACATACTTGTTTGAGAGCTGTTTGCTTTCTCTGGTTGGAGTGTATGGGTGTGTGAAATTGTGGTCAGTGTGTTGCAGGGGAATTCCATTCAACATGCAGTGAATTTGGAATGCGCGCCACTGTTTTCATCAAAGAAACAACCAGCTGTACTCTGGCCTTGTCTGCACTACTGCACGTATTTGTTTTTGAAAGGAAATTTTCCCCTCCATTTTTGATCCAGAGGAGAGCATATAAGCAGCTACAGTTACTACACACTACGTGAAACGCTTTACATACATACAAGGCATAAACTGCAATATATTGCACACTAAATGTAAAACAAGGTTAAATTAAAAAAACAAGCAAATTACTGGAAAAAAATCATTAGCAATGGTGAATGGGATGTGCAGTTTCTTTACTTTTAAAATAATAATGTACACAGTCTTGGGCCTTTGCCTGAATTTTCCATTTTCCAATACTTATATTTTTGCTCTTAATGGAGATTCACCTCGTCGCAGAGATTTTTATGAAGTGTCAATGAAGAAAATGAAATGAAATTTTACAACCAATACTAGAGCCATTCTTAAAGTGGGTTTTCACTGTTGTGCTCAATGGTCAAGGCAGACAACTGTGAATGCTGGAAAAGTGGTGCTGTGATGCTACATTTCATTGAAAAAGTGTAATTAGACATAGCACTACTAGTCAAATGAAGAGAAAGTAGTATATTGACAATTTTACTGTTTTTGCACAAAGCAACAGTGGGCATGCATGAAGTAATCTGCGGACCGTCATTGTTTCCCAAACGCTCTGTTTTACCTGTGCAAACATGGTTTGCATGTGGACAAGAGGCCCAAACCCAAAGAAAACGTTTGTTTTGCAAGATATCTGCATTAGTGTGGACAGGTTGTCAAACTGAGCCATAAGATCTGACTTGCTTCAAAAAAAAAAACACAAAGAAGAGGGATTGCTAACGATAAACTTGACTCAACAATCGTTGGACTGGATTTATCTAAAACAGCCCATAATAGAGTGAAGTGACAGTAGGATCAACAAATGAGTCA